AGGACATCGCAAGTGCATTGAGTGAACCGTTCGATGCTTTGAATATAACTCAGGGTTCAGCAATCTTGTTGGCAATCTTAGAGAGACTGGGGCCTTTTGTGTTGATTCTGGATGATGTGTGGGCTAGTTTCTCTCTTGAAGATGTAGGAATTCCAGAGCCAACTACAAGCAACGGTTGCAAGTTAGTTTTGACCACCCGTTCAAAAGAGGTTGCCCGATCAATGGGATGTAAGATAATTGAAGTGAAGCCTCTTAAAAAGGATCAAGCATTAAAATTATTCTTGAATAAAGTTGGAGATGACATTTTTCCTACACCGACATTAGAATCAACTTTGAAGATGATTGTGGATGAATGTGCTGGTCTTCCACTTGCAATAGTTACAGTAGCTGGTAGCATGAAGGGAATGTCTGACCCACATTTGTGGAAGAATGTGTTGAATGAATTGAGAGAACAAAAAAGAATGGTGGCAGGTACAGAGGTTGATGAATTTCGCATATTAAAATTCAGTTATGACCAATTAAAAGATGAAAAAATTCAACATTGTTTTTTATGTTGTGCATTATATCCTGAAGACCATGAAATTCAAAAAGATGAGATAATTGAATATTGGATTGAGGAGGGACTTATAGATGAAATGCAGACCAGACAAGCAATGAAGTTTAAAGGCCATGGTATTTTGTGGAAGCTTGAAGGCAACTGCTTGTTGGAATTCATTAAAGATAAATATAAAGGAGAATGTGTGAGGATGCATGATCTTCTTCGAGACATGGCACTACATATCACAAGAACAAGTCCTCGATTCTTGGTGAAAGCTGGCACAACGAGCGAGTTACCTCCTGAGGAGCATGAATGGAAAGAAGATATTTTGAAGGTTTCTTTAATGTATAACTACATAAAAGAAATTCCTTCAAGCTTGCCATCTCCAAAGTGCCCTATGCTTACAACCTTGTTGTTGTCTTATAACCTTTTCTTAACAATTCCAGAATATTTTTTTGATCATATGCTTGGGCTCAAGATTCTCGATCTTTCCTACAATGTTTGCCTAGAAAGCCTACCAAATTCAGTTTCTAGATTAGAGAATCTTACCGCTCTGTTGTTGCGGGGTTGCACTCACTTAAGAAAGATACCATCTTTATACAATCTTCGGGTCTTGAAAAAGTTAGATCTTTATGATGCACCAATTGAAGAACTCCCCCAAGGCATAGAAATGTTAACAAATCTCAAGTATCTTGATTTCAGTGGATCATATCCATTAAGGAAGAGATGGAGAACATTATCAAAAATACCTGATGGAATACTACCAAATCTCTCCAAAGTTCAGTATTTAGGATTAGATTATAAGATACTGTTGAAAGTGGAAGAGATAAAGAAATTGGTGAAGTTGGAAAGTTTTAGGGGTCGCTTCCTTACCGCACATGACATGAGCATCTTTTTCAATTCTCGAAGAGATGGCCTAAGTTGGTACAATCTTCATATTGGGGGCCTCAAGGTTGACCCTGTTAATTTTGGTTATTTTGGTAGTATGAATTTCATACGTTGCTACGGTGTTGATATTTGTGGAGAGCCCACTTTACTACCATCTGATGTTCAAAATTTGGAGGTGATGGAGTGCAATGATATGAGAAGCTTAAATGATATTTCTGGCTTTCAAGATGCAACTGACTTGCAAGAATGCAAGATTTATGATTGTGAAGGAATTGAGTGTTTTCTTTCCTCGTGGTCAAACCAGCTCCCAAGCCTTCGTTTTCTGGAACTTTCACATCTAAAAAATTTGAAGGTCATGTTTGAAGTAGAAGCTACTGCCAAGTCAGTACCCCCACCTATCACTTTTTCATCTCTTAAGGTCATTACCATTTCATTTTGTGTTAAAATAAAGAAGCTGTTCTCGCCCAGGTTGCTGCCACTAGAATTCCTCCAGAATCTAGAAGAGATTGAAGTTAAATATTGTATACAATTGGAGGAAATAATAGCATCAGAACCAGAAAGAGAAGGAGAAAGGGTCTCCAAGGTCATTCTTCCGAAATTAAAGAGGCTGATGTTGTTGGCACTGCCCGCTTTGAGGAACATTTGTAGCTCAAGTGCAGTACTTGTTTGCGATTCCATCAAAGATCTTGAATTTGCTAATTGCTTGAATCTTAATATAGGGTGTGTTTTTGGCTCGTGGTTCAACCCGCTGCAAACCCTCGAGATTCTGACACTTTGGAGATTAAACTTGAGATCTGTGTTTGATGAAGAAGCTCCTTCTTTGTTAGCTCCTCCCATCACTGCTTTTTTGCCTCTTAAAAGCATTTCTGTTTCCAACTGCCATCAATTGAAGAAGCTGTTCCCGCTTACATTACTGCTTGGTTACCTTCAGAATTTGGAAGTTATTGAGGTTTCATATTGTGAACAAATGGAGGAGCTAATATCATTGGCATCTCAAGAAGAAGAAAAGGCCCTCAAACTCACTCTACCCAAGCTAACAGAATTAAA